AAAAAAAAAAATGGCCCTGAAAGAAGCAAACATACGACGAACACTGATGCCTACCTTTTAGATATCCGACTAGTGATAACCTCCTGTTTGGAAACAATACTTATTCCTATCATTTCCATGAGATCGGTTCAATTATCAAATTTCACATTGTTGACTACACATATACACTTAGGAGTGTCGCATTTTGCATGTGTTTTGCTAGTAAATCGTCTATACAAGACCAAGACTAAGAGTTCACTTCAACTTCAACAGGATACTCTAAAACATTCAATATACTGAACATTATTTAGAGGCGTCAGAACGATCGGTTAAAAACACATATTTTTTTAATTTTGATATACGATAAAAACAATGTAATAAAGTTTTCGTGATGGTGCAGTTCAATGCACGAGAAAGACCGACGTTATATATGGGATTTATAGAAGTATGTTCAGTAATATAACTTTTACTTTGGATACACAAATTTCAAGAATGTGCCATGAGTAACAACCAACTTCACTGCAGTATGTTTCAAAGTCTTCAGGTGAGTGTGTTTGATTTTCTATATTGGTTGCCGATCAGGGCACGCGGTGCATTGAAGAGCAAGACGGGCAGTTGTAGAATGATAACCAGTTTGACAGGTAATGCACTTATTATACCCAATGAGACCCATACTTGTTACCAAGCAAGGAACGAACTAAATGTCGGCACTTCCTTAGAAACGTAAGTCGGAAGATATAAGGGAAGATCTCAAAACCAGGGGGGGAAAATTGTTTTATTTTTTATTTTATTTTTAATCTCAATTTAAAGCTTTTTAACTTGCACTGTCAGCTTTAAACAACTATAGCTGTGACAGTGTGATTTTCTTGAAACCCTTACTAAACTTAATGACACCATTTGTTTTAGGTTTGGAAGTGATGAGTTAAAGAAGGAATTTTTAGCACCATCAGTGTCTGGGGACAGAGTGGCCTGTCTAGGGGTCAGTGAGGTCGGCTCTGGGTCGGATGTAGCAAGTAAGTACAAACAAATCTTATGTAACATTGTACAATTGGTTGGCAGCTGAGAGAACACTGGGCACTTTGTTGTACAATATTAACCAGTTTATTTACAATATGTATTAAAGAAAACCCCATAAATATGTACATTAGCACTTTCATCAATTCAATACTAAATGTCATTTCTTCAGGTTAGTGGTCTCTCTTGTAATTACTGTTGTGATTACTGAATATTGGTCACTATGATAATAACTGGGTAGTGGTCACTGTTGGGATAACTGGGTAGTGGTCACTGTGATAATAACTGGGTAGTGACCAATTTGCCCATGCAGATGTAGGTTCCATGCAAACACATTTAGCAAAAGACTTGTTTTGATTAAACAATGATTATGTCAGATAATATTCTGACTTCCTCCTAATCATGGAGGCACATGTTTATCGACTTATGAAAAAGGTGTCACATGCCAGCCAATTCCACTCATTGGTCTGCTTAGCTTCTATTGTAGTAGTTACCTAACTACTTATATGCTCAAGACTTCAACTGCCCATGAGACAATAACTGTAATAACTTATTTTTTCCCATTTTTTTTCGGGAACCCTCACAGCTAGCTTTTCATTATACATCAATGTAATAATGACCCAAAGCTATCTTCTTGATAACTACCAGTACATAGCCAAACCCTCTTAGGTTATTTCCTTGAGAAAATAATATATACTAGTACAGTTTTTGATAACAATTAAGTATCGTTCAAGGGGCTCACATTGTCGTTATTCCTACTTCTTGCATTGCAAATCATATCAAAGCAAAATGTTTTACCCATCTAGTAAAAAAACAACAAAAAACCCCACAATGTTTCTAATAATCGCCAGCTAATTTTACTTGTGATTTTAGAGTAGATGAACAAAAATATCTACTGAGATGATAACTTACAAAAACAATCAGTAAAGAAAAAGGACTAAAGTCTTTAGAAGCTCTTTATACCTGAAGTATTGCCTACATTCCATCTCTGAACTGCATGTATTAACTTCTCAATTACTACCATTTCTCAATCAGTATTTCATAATTCTAACTACGACTAATCATATATTTACATGGAACTGTAAGATGAACTGGCTTTTTTTTTCTACTACTTGAAACTTAAACTAAACTACTTGTTTTTCTTTCCCTTTTTCCTACTATGACCTTGAAGAGTCTTATGTATGTGATACTCCACTCCCTTATCAAATGATCAGGCACCAACTCTTCTTTGACCCGGGAGGACTGTCTCTGCTGTACCCATTTGACTCTACACCATGCAACTTTATTGCTGCGCTTACAGCACAGAATTTTGTCCACTGTCAACACCTCATCTGTGTGTGTATCCTTATCATCTAGGTCATTACCTAGATTAGGGTTATTTTCAGGGTCATGTGCTTGACTGCCCTGCTCCACATTCTCCTCTATTAATTCTGGGTTCTGGTCTGTCTGGTCACCATATGGTATCTGGGGAGGGGGATTTGTAGGTCGGAGTTCTGTACTATCACAATTTCAATCTATTTGCATGTATTAGAGACTTCACATCTTTGTTTGACTGGCAATGTCTGAGCCTGTATCTGTGATTATCCAATGCATTAGTGATGTAGAATGGTCCAACCCATTTCTGACAAAGCTTTGCAGACAATCCTACAGGTACTCGTTGACAATGTTGCCATACTCTCTCTCTGTCCAACAGCAAAGTCTGGATCTTTGGCCTTTTTATCATGCTGTTTCTTGTATTTAAGCTGTGCTTTCTCTATGTTGCCTCTTGCAACTTTCCTAAAGACCTCATGAGTTTGTGCGAGTTTTCTGATATGTGATTCTGTTGTTTTGGGGAGATTTTCATTTGGAATCAACGCTGTGTCAATGGGGATACAGCACTCTCGTCCAAACAAGAGGAAATATGGGGAAAATTGTGATGATTGTGTGGATGGTACAGCTCTAAAGCTCAACATGATACTTGGTAGTATCTCATGCCAGTTGCTTTGTTTCTCATTACAGAATGCCCTTAATGTAGTGGCGATGGAATCGTTCATCCGCTCATTAGCAGCATTTGTCTGAGGGTGATAAGATGAAGTTTGCATCACAAATCCTACACAATTCCTTGACCAGCTTTGATACAAAGTTTTGTCCCCTGTCTGTCAGAATAGCATAAGGGGCTCCATATCAACAAATAAATTCACTGTACAATACCCTAGCTATTTCTGTTGCTTCATATGAGACCAAGGGAAATGCTTCGGACCATTTTGAGAATGAATCTACAATAAGCAGAATGTACCTATGACCTTGTGTGGTTTTGGGTAATGGACCCAGTATGTCCATGTGTATTCTACTGAACACATCCTGAATGGGGAGAGGTTTCAAAGGTGCTTCTCTGTGATGTGTGTCCCTTTTTGCCCTTGCACACACCTCACATGACTTACAATAGTACTGGATGTCTTGAAACATTTTATGCCAGAACTACTTTAGTCTGATGGTGTGATATGTCCTTTCTATGCCTTGGTGACCTGCTGTAATTGCACCATGATACACTAGCAGAATGTCATTCCGTAGCGATAAGGGAATGACCAGCTGTTTGATAACTCTCTCACTCTTCAAACCCTTACCTCTGGGGTAATATAAATGAAACAGTACTCCATTATCCATCAAAAAGTCATTTGATTCCCTGACAATGGTATGAGCTAGGTTTCTGTCCTCTGATAGAACTCTATCTTCCAGATACCTAATGATGTTTATCAAATCTGGGTCTTCAAGCTGTTTGCTTCTAAGGTTGTCTGGGGTTATGTCTGACACAGAGGGGTCATAATCATCTGTAACTCGACCTTCACCTATGTAATTTACAACATTCCTGTGGTCAGTTAAAATACTGTCTGGCCAGTCCAGTGTCTATTCAGCTGTCCCTCTTAATATGGGGGCTGCAATGACCTCATGCACCGGGTCATCTGACTCTGGTTTAGGGCTCCCATCATAATCCCGTCTAGACAACCCATCAGCATTGGAATGTTTCTTTCCAGCTTTATGCTCAATGACAAAGTTGTAACCCTGTAACAGTATTGCCCATCTTGCCACTCTACCCGATTTTTGTTTGGTACTTTGCAATGTTTTGATTGCCATATGGTCAGTCAATTTCTTTGTGGCTAGGTATACATGGAAATGTCTTATTCCTTCTACTAACGCTGACCCTTCCAAATCTGTTATGCCCCAGTTTTTCTCTGCCTTTCTCAATAACCTACCCCCATAGGCTACAGCTTTTTCCTTTCGTCAGCATCTCGCTGTCCTTAAACATACATGTATACCCTATTGCCTTAGTGGATGCATCCACATAGAGGATTAATTCTTTGTCAAAATCAGGGTACACAATTCGTGCAGTTGTCAAGCATTGTTTCATACTGTCAAAAGTACTTTGACATTTTTCTGACCAGAGGAATTTGGTGTCATTTTTCAGGAGCTCATTCATAGGTGCTACAATCTCTGAAAACCCTTTCACAAACCTACGATAGTAATTACATAGTCCTAAGAATGCCCTGACATCATGTACTGACTTGGGAATGGGATATTCTGTCACTGCCTTTATTTTCTCATGGTTCACACTGATACCATCCTTTGAGAAAACATGGCCTAGATATTTTACCTCAGACACTGCAAAATGGCATTTTGAAGGTTTAAGTTTCAGATTAGCGTCCCGCAATCTCTGAAAAACCTGAGCCAAATGGTCTATTGGCTCCTCAAATGTTGAAGAGAACACCAGGTTATCATCTATGTAGACAAGAGCAAACTTATAGTTTTTGTCCCTCAACACCTCCGACATCACCATAGAAAAGGCTGATGGTGAGTTTGAAAGTCCAAATGGGAGCTTAGTATATTCGTAGACACCCTGATGTGTCACAAAACCTGTTTTTGCTTTGGAATCCTCTGTCAGAGGAATTTGCCAAAACCCTGATCGTAAATCCAAGCTAGTGTAGTATTTAGCCTTTGCCTGCCCTATCGTGTCTGATATGTCATCAAACCTGGGGATTGGGAAGCTCAGTGGTTCAGTGACCTGATTTACCCAGCGGTAGTCAATGGCAAACCTATATTCTCCATTCAACTTTTTCACTAGTACCACTAGACTTTGCCAAGGTGTATTAGCCTCTTCAATTATGTTGTTTTCTAACATTTCCTTGGTTTGTCTCTCTTTTTCTGCCTTAGCTTGAGGAGATGTCCTGTACAATCTTTGCTTGATAGGTTTAGCATTACCAGTATCTATTTCATGAAAATACAAGTCTGTTGTTCCAAGCTCTGTCAAATCTTTAGCAAAAATATCCCTATTGTCACCAAGGAAAGCTAGGAGATTGTTATTCTCTTCTTCTGTAGCAGAATTTACCTGGACACCTAAATCTCTAGCTTTGTTAATGTTCTCACTGGTAACAAAACCTGACAACTTTTCAAAGTTATTTCCCACACTATTCAGAGAAGCAACACCATCATCAGCTGATGACTGCTCTTGAGGAATCTCGCTCAATAAATCTTCCTGACTTACTGATGTAACTAAAGCGATTGGTTGTCCAACCTTGAGTTCAACAAAGGAATTAGTCGGGTTCAACACTTGGTACACTGTCTTGTTTTTCTTAACCTCAGACACAGTTCTGGCACCCATAACATTACATTTAGAAGGTAGGCTGGAAATAGGGCCTAACATCTTTAATCCTTGTCCACATGTACGACTTCTGGTTTCCACTAGAATTCTAGCAACCGATTGAGGTGCTATTTGGATATTACAAGCCAGTCTGGCTAAGCTTGACTTGCGCTTGACTCTTAAATGACTCTAGAAATGCAACCATTGCAATGCCACCCTCCAACTCTAAATATTTGAGTATTCAGAAAAAAAAGTAATAATTGGCAGTTAGAAAAAGATAGCAAAGAGAGCTTTTAGAGAGGGTTGTAAAAGTTTCATAACTGGTAATATATATATATATTTCAAATGAAAGAAAATGAGGTATATAACTGGTAATATATATATATA